ATGACTCAGGGTTTCTCACTTTCCTGGAACACACAGTCTAGACATTAGTCTGGCCTGGCTAACCAATCAGCTGCAGGGATCCTCTTGTCTCCACCTCCCAGAGGTGGGATTACTAATGTGAACCTCCTCACCTGGCCTTTTACATGGGTGCTTGGGATCTGGGAATCAAACTCAGGCCTTCATACTTGCAAATCAAGGGCTTTACCAACTGAGCCATGACCCCACCCCCACCCCCTGCCAGTTTTATCCCCAGAAGTTTCACTTGCTCTATTCTGAGTCGTGCTTCCAAATTCTGATCTAATGGGTCCAGGGTGAGGGCCAGGTGACTACCATGGCAACAGAACACTCATATTTAATGAAATTGGCTTTCCATAAGATATCAGCAAAGAAATTTCCATTAACACACATGCTCTAGTCTCTTAGTAACACGTTTCCAAATTAACACAGGATTAATAAACTCCTAGTTTGTTATCATTGATGCTTCATGCATGTAATAGTTCTATGACCTGAATCTCTAGAAGTCCGTGAGCTTAATTCTCTGTGGTTACACTAAATGATGACTCTGGCTTCTTTTCAATTAGGCCAGATCACACTTGCAGCTTTGAGATGTGTCATCCCTTTAATTGGTCACGTGAGCACAACCTGACACCATCAGGGTACTCTGGATGCATAGAGGGTATACAGTAAAGACCACACATGAAGATCCCCATCAGTGTCTGAGTGTGTAACCCGGAGTGCGAGCCCTAATCTCCTTTCCACATTCTTCCTGTTTTCTGCTCAGCAGCCTCTCAGCTCAGAGACTTTGCTGAGGCTCCACCTCTGCCTTCCTCCTTCCTCCAAGATGCTCTCCACCCATCCTTGGACCATACTCAGATGTCTGTTCAAGTGCACACCTCACAGTAATGATTCCTGGCATCTGAACAAAGCTTAGTTTTAGACTTGCTCACTTGTATGGGTCTCCTACACAGTCCTAGTGGATCTCATATGGTTGTGAGACTTTTGTTGCTTTTTCCTTTACTTATTTCGTGGTGGTTTTTTGAGGCAGTGTCTTGTTCTACACCCCAGGCTGATCTCAGACTCACAATCCTGCCTCAACCCGAATGCACCACCCCTGGTGGTTATGGTCATGCTTTAAAAATAAAAATCTTGTAAAACATTTTAACTATAGTTATTTTTAATCCAATTTTTTCTTTCTTTTGAGACGGTTTCTTTATGTAGTCCTGAGTGGCTTGGTGCTACCTAGCGGGAGATCTCAAACTCACCAAAATCCTCCTGCCTCCCACGTTCTGGAATTATAGACATGCACTATCACACCAAACATCACAGTTGTTTTAGATTCCTCATTTCAATTGCCCCTCCTTTATCTTTCTCTGGTATTGAGTGTTGATGGGGTCATGACAAGCAAACAGATGCTGAGATTGGAATACATTTATACATTCAGTTAGGATTTCAGTGGGATAAATCATGTGGCTGTGAACACAGGATTGGTATGAATACTGAACCACAGATACAAAACCATAGGAAGCTGGGCGTGGTAGTGCATACACTCCTGTAACTCTGGTACTTGAGAAGCTGAGACAAGAGGGTAAAAAATTGAGAACAGCCTGGGCTCTAAAGGAAAACCCTGTCTCAAAAAGTCCCTCAAAAGAAAACAGGAAAAAAGAGGACATACTTAAAGATTTCAAAGAGAGAGAGAGATAGTCAGACAAAATGAACTTGCCTATGCGCCTGTGCCAGCATAGCCCATCAGAAGTACGTAGGACAGGCCATCAGAAAAGGATAAGGACAGGGCTGAGCTTCATTGATCAAAACTTGGCTCCAGGAAGGAGTCTCCTCCCAGCCTCAGAGCTATGAGGAAATAAATTTCTTCTACTTAAGGTACCATAAGTATTTTCTTACAGCATACTAGTAAACAGAAAATATGTTAGGAATGTATTTATTAAAAATAATGTACAACTGTCCTCAATTTGTGATGTTTGGTATCATTGCCTTGCTTTTAAGGATTTGGTCATTTCTCATGATCACCTTTTGTATTATACAAATTTTCATTTTCATATCTATTTTTGCAGTCTTTTCCTTAAAAGGTGCCTCCCTGGATATGACCTTAAAAACTGGATATACTGCCAGGCATGGTGGCGCACGCCTGTAATCCCAGCACTCAGGAGGCAGAGGCAGGCGGATCTCTGTGAGTTCAAGGCCAGCCTGGTCTACATAGTGAGCTCCAGGACAGGTGGGGCTACAGGGAGACCCTATCTCAAACAGACAGAAAAAAAATTGGATATGCCTATCTTCATCATTCTCTGCTTATTAATACTGGTAGAATGGAGTGGGAGAGATGGCTCGGCAGTGAAGAGCACTGGCTGTTCTTGCAGAGGACCTAGGTTGGATTCCCATCACCCACATGGCAGCTAACAACCATCTGTAACTCCAGTTCCAGGGGATCCAATGCCCTCTTCTGACCTCCGTGGGCATTGCATGATATGGGTGCACCTACCTATATGCAGGCAATACATTCATACACATAAATAAATACATGAATAAGTAAGTGAATAAATAAAATTTTGAAAATTAAATACTCGTGGACTATTCTTCCAACACACCTGCCATATTGTCTTGCAGTGATGGTGGTGGGTCTGGAGCTCCACTGCACTTCTTGGAAAATGTTTGAATCTACCTGGGCTGGTACCATGCCCAACTCATCTGTCTGATGAAAGAATGGATCAATCCACAAACAGAAGCTTGAGTGGATGTTAAAAACCCCAGGAGCCAGCCAGACTCTGGAAGTAGATCATCACCGTTATGGTTAGAATTCAGGCTATAGATTTTTTACGTTTTTTTTTAGTTTGGTTTGGGAAAAGAATGCTTAAGAATCTGGATACTGAATTATGATGAAAACCTGAAGTACAAGCCCAGTGAGGAGAGTGCTTTTAACTATCCTCAAGGGAAGAACTTGTGGTTAACACACACACACACACACACACACACACACACACACACACACAAAGCATGTTATAACAGCCCCAAACATATGGAAATGAGTAAAATGAGACATGCAAAGACAGCTCTTCATTCAACACCTCCTCCCAAAATACATCTTTGATAAGCTAATGCTGTGTGTGGATGGTGCCTGATTACAGGGCTTATCTATGTTCTTCTGTGGTCCAGAGGAGGATGTGAGAGTGTGAAATACAATACTCAGCAGCCCTGTCAAGCGCAGGTTATTTCTTGAATTGGTGAGATATTTGGGTCTGAGACAAATGCTGTTTGTAGTCCAAAATCTCTTCTATGAAAATACAACCCTGAAAGGACTAGCCTAAAAAAGTTGTAAACCATGCTTCCTTGTACATTTCTGTTCTATATTTCTGTTTTTCTTCTTGTACCTAGAGGAGGTGGGTGAGACAGGGACACACACACACACACACACACACACACACACAAAGGGCTCTCCCTCTTTCTGCCCACAATTTTGACACTGGGGCCCTTATTTCTGTTGCAGCTTCTTCAAATTGAGTATGTTTTGTTTTTACCAAGAAAATGAGAAGCAATTTGCTTTCTATTATTTGATGTGTAGAAGGGAGTTGTTTGTGCCCAAAATCTCTCCCACAACTGCCCACATCTCAGTTCCTGTTTATTTCTCCCTGTCACACATATAAACTGGGGTACTGACAACTCTGTCATACACCGTCAGATGCTTCTTACCTTGTTTTGAATTATGGACTTTCTTGAAAACAGTTACTCCAAATAAAAAGTCACAAACACATATACACAATTCTAATCAGGTGTGGTGATACATAACTATAATTCCAGACCTGGGGAGGCTCAGGTGGACTGCAGAGAGTTTGAGTCAAGCTTGAATTACACAGTGAGTTCAAAGCCAACCTCGACTACATAGCAAGACCCTATGTTAAAAAGCAGAGAGAGAGAGAGAGAGAGAGAGAGAGAGAGAGAGAGAGAATTTTCTAACATCTCCCCTTAGTAATGCTGTCCAAAGAGACCTGTCTAGTGACCCTGGGTAAAGATTTTTTCTTCTTTACAAGTAAATTATTGCTAGCAAAATTTTACAAGTAAAATGATAAGATGGGTGTGTTAGCACACCTGCAATCCCAGCACAGGGAGGCGGAGGCAGAAGGATAAAGAATTTGAGGCCAAGCCAGCAAGATGGCTCAGCAATTAAAGGTACTTGCCACCTGGCCTGATGACCAGTTGGAAAACCAGAATCCACATAGTGGAAAGAAAGAACTAACTCAAACAAGTTGTCCTTGCCCTCCACATGCGTTTCTGTGGCATGTGTGTGCACACACAAAATAAATAAATGTAAATTTTTTAAATTAATTTGAGAAAGCTGGGTGTGGTGGTGCACATCTTTAATCCCAGCACTGGGAAGGCAGAGGCAGGCAGATTTCTGTGAGATGGAGGCCGGTTTGGTCTACATAGCGAGTTCCAGTCCAGCTGGGACTGGGGAGACTCCTCTGCACCAAAAAAAAAAAAGGAAAAAGGAATTTGAGAACATCTTGGGCTATAGAGTAAGACCTTTTCTTTAAAAGAAGCAAATAAATGTAAGAGACAGTGGACATCTGTGTAGGATATTTGAAACCTACAAAATATTTCACAATTGACATAAAGCTTTATCCCAGACAAGGTTTGTAAGTAAAAAAGAATTAGTAAAAGGTAAAAATTATTATTTGGAGTTCTAATTCCCATGGTAGGTAGTGAACTACCCCCAATTCGGCAATGCTGACATTGTAGTGGTGCATATTTGCCTCATTATGGTGCTTTGATCGTTGAATCTGAGTCAAGTCAAGGTTACAAGGAAAGATTTTAGAAAATTGTACAAGCTACTTTAGTAAAAAGAAATAGTTTTACATAGTATTTCAGCAACAGTTGAGTTCAATTTAGCATTTCTCTACAAATAATATCGTTTAATAGTAAAGTATAAAGTAAGTAAATGCTGTGTTCAAGCAAATTTACACTTAACAAGATCACTAAAATGCAAATCTATTAAAAATAGATGTTGTCTTTAATGTTTATTTCACATTATGTACGTACATCCAGTTTGTAAATTTACAGTTCTATTTCACAGGGTCCCTTTCTGATATACATATAACACATCAAAGAACACATCTGGAGCATTCAGCCTGTCAGACCTTACTTGGGGAAACAAGATTCCCGGCATCCTTATCCTACATGTGGATAAATACAGTTCTCAATAATTGGGGTGAAATAAAAGATGGATAAAAAAAGAGTACATTTTATTCCACCTGAGGTTATTGGTGCTTATCTTGGAAATGGTCTTCTAATTGTTGAATTAAGATTTAGTACATGACATATTTTTAGAAGGTTCTTAAATTATCCCAAGAGCCTTAGCTGGTCATTTCTGGAGCTCTTGTAATCTGACATGAGTGAACTACCACCGTTTCCGTAACGCTGACATTGTAGTGGTGTGTGTTCACAGAAAATAGTGGTCATCAGCATTATTATCTTTTTATAAAAAAAATATTTCCAGGCTAGAAAATGAGCAATTATTGTTTCAATTAGGCAAAGAAAAAGAACAGACCGGTGCAACCCAGTACTAATTTTTAACAGAAAAAATCACATTGAATTAACAAATTTAAAACTTTATGAGATTCAAATACAAGACACTGGCATGATGGCGCTAGATGACTGCATGCTCATTCTGCTCAATGTTGCCCATGAGATCTTTCGTGTCGCTTGGTCCTGGACTCGAATGACTGTTAAAGTAGAGAGTGTTCTCAAAAGTGGCCTCTTGAGGCACATGCAGCACACGTCTCTTCTTATAAAAGAAATAAGCAGCAACACCAGCACCCGCCAGAATCAGGAGAACCACAACCACTACAACAGGCGCTCTGGAAGCCCGCTTGGAAGGGTCCATCTTCCTTGAGTCAACTGTAAGCAAATCAAATAGTTAGCAAACAAGTGGAGGGAGGCAGGGTTTGGCACTATGGAAAACAGCACAGCTTCCTTATAGAAAAACTGAAACGCATGAATATTCTTTCAAGTGGTATTTGTCACGAGATGTAAAAACAAGGATCAACATGACAGGGGATTCTTTAGCATGTTCAGGAGACTGATTATTCCATTGCAAGAATATTTCATCTCTCTATGTAGTGCTGAGGTAGTTCATCAATGTTTTAAAGACACACATATACCCTGTATCAAATTAACTTAGGGGAGGGCTGAAGAGAAGGCTCAATGATTAAAAGCACTTACTGCTCTTTGAGAGGACCTGAGTTCCATTCCTAGCACCCACATCTGGCAGTTCATAACTACCTGTAATTACAACTTCAGGAGACCCAGCACCTTCTTCTGGCCACCCACATACATGTGACAGGCACTCCCATGGACATACAAACATACATATGAATAAAAATAAAAGCAAATATATTTTAAGTAACAATTATTTAAATCTGTTTACAAACATTATCAAAAAATGATGATTAAAAATAAATGAAAAAATAATGGAAAAAATAATAGTAGAAATCCAAACTCCTGAATACCACCCAAAAGATTAAAAGGGTATTTACAGGAATGGGGGGGCGGGCGGTCAAGAAAGTATATTAATGCACCACATGTGTGCAATGCCTGCAGAGGCCAGAGAGGGCTTTGGATCTCCTTGAACTGGTGTTACGGATTCTTAGCCACCATGTAGGTGCTGGAAACTAAATCCAGATCCTCTGCAAGAGAAGCCAGTGCTCTTAACCAATGAGCCATCTCTCCAGCTCCCCATAAAGATTCTTGAAAATTTTCTTCCAATGATTCTTATGAGGCATTTTTTTTGTAATACAGCAACGTAATGTCTTCAAGAACTCTCTGTGAGTTCGAGGCCAGCCTGGTCTCCATAGTGAAGCCAAGACAGCTGGGGCTACGGGGAGACCCTGTCTCAAAAAGACCAAAAAAAAAAAAAAAAAAAAAAAAAAAAAAAAATACCAGTCAGACTCCAACCTATTTTTCTAAAATATCATTAGAAGAATGTTGTAACCTAGTGATAAAGGTTAGATTCAGGAATTCTACTGAAAGTACAGGGGAAAAGAAAGGGAGTATTATGACTTTTAAAAGAAACTGAATCATACGAATAATACCAGCCTTGAAATTTCCTAGCGATCTTACCTTTAGTTGTAACTGATGCATGAGTAGTTTCAGGGTCAACAACTGTTTGAAAAAAGAATAATAAATAGTTATAAAAATCCATAAGAACTACATGTAGATAACAAATTGTATTTGGCTTGGAAATGCATGAACTCTTCCAGAGTTAACTTAAGGAGGTATGATACATGATAAATTATATGATATGATGTAATATAGATGAATGCATGGATGCATGATATACCTGGATGCATAGATATAAAGCTATCTACCTACTTACCTACCTACCTACCTACTCATCCATCCTTCCATATGTCTGTCTGTGTAATTGCAGCATCCCATACCTATATAATGATTTTGAATATACTAGAAGATTTGAAAATATGATCCTATAAGTTGTATTTGAGAATTAATACTTCTACACAGCTACACAATTCTACCTATAAATAAAGTACTCTAGTGTTTTGAAGTTGACTGAAGTCTACATTGTTACAAGGTATTTGAATGAAATCTTAAGAGTGTAATATTGTCCCAGAGACAGTAACCCAGGCTTTATATTAAAGGTTGTAGAATCTTAAAGAGTTAAAGACTAAAAGTCAATGTATTTCTAAAATAATAAGACCTTCTGAGGGAACAGAATCAGTTTATCTGATCACATGACTGATTGTAGTCACAGAAATCAAACTCAGGGTCTGGCCAATGCTAGGCAGGTGCTCTACCACTGAACCTCTTAATTCATTTATTTAAGTTTCTAGTTAATAAATTTATTTTGAGGAAGATAATATGCCATGTGGAATGGCATCAAAATAACATTAAAGTCAAGACAATGGAACATAGGGAATATTTATCACCTTTAATCACCCCAGCTACTTTCCTGTCATGGTCTTCCATTGGTTCTCAGATGAGGTCTGAGTTGGTTTTACATGACTTACACCGCTGATCTATCCCAGTTTGGGCTGGTGATAGCATTGTCCTTTTCCCCAAGTGCAGTAACGTTGTAGAGATGGGGTTTCCAGACTATCTGTAACTTTGCAGTGTATGCATGGGTACACCACTAATCTATCCTAAACCAAGGTCATTATGTTGGTTAGACAGAGCACCTCTCACTCAAAGCTAGAGGCAGTGGTTGATTACCATGACAGAATGGATCTCACCAATAAGGGGCAAAGTTGGCAGGGGAGCTGAGATCACATTATGGTCTCCCTGCTGTGGCCTGGGAACAAGCTACCATATGGTAAATGTTTTACTTACTTTTTGGCATTTTACAAATAAATCCTTTGTAGGAAGTACAGTGGATATTTTTCCAAAACCCAGAAGAGGAAGCTAAAACTACACAATCATTTCGTTCACCAGAGGGATCGCCTGTGTTCCAGTTGACAAAGGAGACGGGGTTGCTGTTTAACCAAAGCCACTTTCCTGGTGGTCAAATAAAATCAATTAATACCAGAAGTTAAAAATAACCCATCTTAAGTTTATCTTACTGATACAAAAATTTTAAACATATTATATTATACTGGAACCCATGGTTGTTTGCAACCAGACTTTTGACAGGCAAGACTCTAATGACGAATTATTACAGAGAAGAAAACCAAGAAGACTATATTTGTTGCATCGCTTTAGTTGAAAATTTTAATTCTAGTTTTACAAATATTTATACTTATGTTTCTCGATCATTTTTATTCTGGAAAGAAAAAAGAAAACATTGTCTAAATCTTAAACTAATTTAGATAGAAAAGATATTTTTAATTATTTTATTTTATTCTTATTTCATGTTTATGGGTGTTTTGCCTGCATATATGTAAGTGCAACTGTGCATGCAATGCCTGCGGAAGTCAGAAGAGGGCATCGGATCCCCTGGAACTGGAGTTAAGGATGGTTTTTAGCCATCATGTTGGTGCTGGACCTCAACCCAGGTCCTCTGGAAGAGCAGCCAGTACTCTTAACGGCTGAGCCATCTCTCCAGTGAGAAGATATTTTTATATAGCAACTTTCAACACTGTACAATATGTGAGTACAATATTTAAATTTTCAGTTATCTCAAATAGAACTGTGACTATAACTTTTCAAACTTATCACATGTTAATCATTAGCTAAGGCAACACTTCCTGGAATTTTGAAAAATTGTTTTATATACAACATTTTGAAATATTTGCTATTAAATAATGGTTTTGTAAAAATTACCTTCAACATTTCTGAACATGCCTATCCAAAAATTGGTTTTACTTTTAAGAGGTTCAACCCGATACGACAAAAAACTGGATTCAGCAGCACTTTCAATGGAAGCCAGGGAGGCACCTGCAGAGTGTAAGAGGCTAGTGAGGGTCGCTGATCATATGAACAGCACTGGTATTCATAGCAAGAAAGCCAGTCCAAGGTCACTACTTAAGATACAACATACTACATTATCATTCCAGACACTAGGTACAGACTGATTCAAAGTAAGAAGAAAAAAGAAAGCAAAACAGCAGCCAGATGACTGTACAACTGACAACTCATACATTGTCCGCATTAGCTTTACAACAAATAATGTATTTTAACATTTTACTACAGATATTTGATTTGGACCTTATGAGCATTATTTTACTTTTTATAAGACCTCATTAAATAGGTACTATTGTCATCCCATTGTATACATAAGGACACCAATGTATACAAGCTTAGTAATTATTTGGCTGGAGTTCCAGCACTCCTTGAGTACACAATCATGGCATGACCCAGACATTCTGAGCCTGAAGAAGTGACGCATACCCACGTGGCACTCCATCCTGTATCCTGGGTTCTGGATTATCTCCTTTATTATTGTTGATTGCATAATCCATCACTGAATATATTTCATAGCTATTGGGCATTTCAAAATATTTCTGGCCTGTTCTGATGAATGAGAATCATTCATCTTATTTACCAGATAATACAACACTAAAGCTGAAAACAAACCTTTTGCATATTCATTGTAGAATTTTTTAAAACCTTAAGCCACATGAAAGAATAATACGTTTAACTTGAAAACTTTAAAGCACTTTTCAGATGTCCTCATGAGAAATGGCAGAGTAACTGCCTCTGAAAATCTTTTCCTCTACAGAAACAATGAGGACACTTTCTTCTTTATTCTTTTAAATATTTTATTATTTTTATGCGTATGAGTGTATTGCCTGCATGTATGTATGTGCACTTGTGTTGTGCAATGTCCGAGGAGGTCAGAAGATGGCATCGAATTCCCCTGGAACTGCAGTTACAGACAGTTGTTAGCTGCCATGTGGGTGCTGGTAACCAAACCTAGGTCCTCTGCAAGAGCTGCCAGTGCTCTTAACTGCTGAGCCATCTCTCTAGCCTGAGAACACTTTCTTACTACAGGCTTTCAACAATTCAAGATGCATATATGCTTTTTTTTAAAAAAAGACTTATCTTGGTAATAAAAACGCTACTTTGCAGAGTTTGAACTTGCCTTAATCCTACTGTCTTCTCTCTAGTTCTGTGGTATCTTTAAAAGCCTAAATCTTCACCATCAGCCTAGCAGCCACAGGAAGTTATCAGAATAAGGTTGGTACTCTTCAAATTTTGTTTTCAAAGAATTCCATTATTCACTCTGAAAATTGCCTTTAAAAAACCATTTGCAAGATTTATCTTTATTTGATCTGAGCTCACTCATTGCAGTCTTTTCCCTGGGAATATTCGTCATAAACTTTCAGGGGTGATTACCTAATATTTCACTGATAATAGCTGGGGCAAACTTACAAGCTAACAACAACAAACAACTAAAAGCAAAAGCTAAGAAATGGAGTCTTTTCAAAGATTGAGACATTTCTAAAAAAGTAGAAAATCAAAGATGTGTATTAGACTTTGTGCATGACAGGAATTCCTGAGAAGGTCTAACGCTGTTACTCTGAGACTGGGGATCTGCAAGAGAAGGATGTGAAGGCTGAGGCAGAGTTGTAAACCGAGCAGATTACTAGTAAGAGCAACACTCAGACAGGCTCCTCAACACAACCTGAGCTGTGTATTAGTTCTAGAGCCTCAAAAATATGTCTGATTACCACATCTGTAAACATAATCACATTGTCAGAGACAAAGTAGTCCTGAAATCAGCAATTGAGAAATGACTCATCAAACACGGAGATCCAACCTTAATGCTAATTTCTCTAATTTCTGGAGGCCAGGAAGCAGTTGGATGAAATAGTCAAAAGGCTGAAGGAAAATGACTATTAACCAGGAATTTTCTATATAGTAAAACTGTCCTTCAAAACAGAAGGAAAAATTAAAATATGCATAGATAAAATATGAAAAGAACGCATCACTATCAGAAATACTGAAGAGCCAGGTGTGGTGGCCTAGCCTTTAAACCCGGCGCTCAGGAGGCAGCGGCAGGCAGATCTCTGTAAAGTCAAGGCCAGCCTGGTCTACATGGGGAGTTCCAGGCTAGCTGTGGCTACAGAGGGACCATCTCACAAAAAGGAAAAAAAGAAAAGAAAAAATACTAAAGAAGAAATAAAAGGATAATGGAGAGTTCGCAAGAGGGAACGGAGAACATGAGGCAATGAAACCACATCGGTGAGCAGAGATGGCGGTGAAGGTATATTTGTGATGTAATTCTTTTCTAATCTACCTTAAAGACACCTACAAATCTGTGTTGATGGGCATGTAATGCATAAGATGCATCAAAGCACAAAGGAGAGCAGGGAGAACAGAGGTGTGTAAGAGCAAGGTTTTTATATGCTCAACTGAAATTAAATGTATAAATCTGAACTGGATTGTTACAAATTAAGAAGATAATTGTAATCATCAAGGCAACTATTATGAAAATAACTAGACAATAAATAGAGAATCCTTAACTTGCAATGCAACTCATTGTGTAGTTGAAAAGTCCTAAGTTGACCCATCATAAGTTGGGGGCCATATGTACAGTAAAAGAAACAAAGGAATCAAGCAGCACACTAAACATTATCTTCTTAAAACAAAAGAAGGGAATAATAAAGGAACGGGAAAATTAAGTGACAAGATGTGCAGGGGAAAATCAAAAAAACAACAGCCTTAAGTACTCCTTTATCAGCATTTACATTGAGTGTAAGTGGATTAAACCTGCATAAAACAGATTTAGAGAAAATACGCATTAATTAACTTAAAACACCAAACTACATGATGTCAAAGAAAATCATACTTGAGTTCTGAAGACATGATAAATTGAGAGCAAAAACATAGAAGATATGCTATTCAATCACTTAAAAAGAGACAAATTCAGTGTTAAGAGCACTGGCTGCTCTTGTAAAAGAGCTGGGTTCAATTCCCAGCACCCACATGGCAGCTAACAATCGTCCCCAACTCCAGTTCCAGGGGAATCCGATGCTGTCTTCTGACTTCCGCAAGCATTGCATGACATGGATGCACTTACACTACACACAGGCGTAAAAGTAAAAAAAAGAGCCAAAGTATCTATACCAATATTAGAGAAAGCAGACGTTTAGACAAAAATCAGTACTAGAGGCAAGGAAGATACTCTGTAATGGTAAAGGTTCAGCTCATCAGGAAAATAGGATGGTTATAGACATGTAAACCTCAAAATACACAAACGAAAACCTGCCAAAGCAGGCTTCATCTCACTCAGGATTTAAAGTTCAGAGTCAAGGGTGAGTGCCAGAAGACCCTAAGGGAATGAGGATGCATCTCTGGCTCCTGCTGGGTGAAGAGCCCTGAGTCAGGGATAATGAAAATGCAGTAAAAATAACTTCTTCAGTAAAACAATCGGTGGGATTCAACTGAGTGGCTTTTAAACCTATCCTGAAAACCTGCCTTGTGCCAGGTGGGCAGTGCTCAGGAAGCCGAAGCATGAGGAGCCTGAGTTCAAGTCCAGCTTGGGCTTGCACACTCTGTTGCAATGAAATAATGTTTGTGCTTTTTTTTTTTTTTTCTTTTTAATCTTATCTGGGCATGGTGGCATATGCCAGCATTTGGGAGGTGGAAGTGGAGGAATGAAAGTTCAAAGTCATCCTCGACTACATATGGAGTTCAAAGCCAGCCTGAAACACGCGAGATCCTATCTCAAAACAACAACATCTCTGACATTTTTCATTGAGTTTGGTTTTATTTTTCTTCACTAACACAACAACCAGATATAAAACACTTCTACTAATAATAAAGAAGTTGGTTCCTTATAAAATCTAAGTCATGTTGCTGGAGATGTAGCTCAGCGGCTCAGGGTCAGAGTCATAGAATGCTTACCTAGCATGTACAGAGCCCTAAACTGATACCCAGCACCACAAAAAGTAAATAAATAGAGAGGTACTTTTCATTCCTTTTATTTTAATGCATAGGATTATTAATGCCATTGAACCAAAAATATATGATTATAGATTTTTTTTCAGGAAATGTGGCACTTACCCATTCGAAGGCATTCTAGAGAAGCTTGGCCCCAGTTCCTTGTGAATGAAGACTCAATATAGTAACAGTGACCATGGAAAGGAATCCAGGCAGTCTGCTCTGACTCAGGACACTTGCCAGGCAGTTGTGGAGGCTCAGTAGCAGGAATTTCTGTTAATAAATAGGTATTTAAAGCAAATGAATGCCAGGGTCTCCATAGTATGTACAATAATATTTTGTAACTAAGGAAAATTATATCCTCTACCACTATTCAGAATTTTCTGGTGTTTGGCATTTAGATCCCCCATTTTACTGGCTTTCCATTTACTTTATCATCTTAAATATACTTCAATAGAATGCAGTAATCATGAATCACTCATAAATTAAGATTGTAGATCTATAAATCCCTCCAATAATGTTGTGTAATTTGGCAAATTACCCCAAAATTAATTTATAGAGATTCCTTTTGCAAGCCCGTCTACCTGTGCTGGATAGCTTCCTACCTGTGCTGGATAGCTTCCTACCTGTGCTGGATAGCTTCCTACCTATGCTGGATAGCTTCTGTTGTCTACATGCACACCTCAGTCGAGGCATTTCCTCCATAGACTGACCTGTTGCCCTGTATGTGAGGCATTTCCTTAATTGCTAATTCATGTGGGAGGGCCCAGCCTATTGTGGGTGGTGCTACCCCTATACAGATGGTCCTGGGTTGAAAGCAGGCTGACCACAGGGCCAGGGGAGCAAGTCAGTAAGCAGCGTTCCTCCGGGGTCTGTGCTTCAGCTCCTGCCTCCAGGTTCCTGTCCTGCGTTCCTGCCCTGGCTCCCCTCCATGATGAACTCTAAGCTGTAAGATGAAACACCGCCCCCCCCTGCCCCTCCAAGTTACTTTTGGTAAGTGTTGTTATGGCAACAGAGACGTGAACTAGGACACTTCCTTTTCTGGGATCCTAACCCTGTAATTTCCTCTTATCTGACAACAGTTCCTGTGAGATAATTGCTGTAGGTGAGCTTCTGGGATTGTGCCCACACCATCACTGACTGCTCCATCCACACACATTCAGTAGAGCAGGCAGAACTCTACTGAAGCAGATGCTCTGTGGACATCCAAAGGAAGCATTCCTTCTTGGAGAATCTGTCACCATAAATTCATCGGGCAGCCTCAGTGACAAACATTCAGAGATCTATAATAAGAAACTAAACTCTAAAAACAATGAAAATTTCTATCTCCATTATTTTGATCTACACATACTAGTTGATAGTCAAGTCAGTCTTTTGTTTTGTGCCATTTTATTCTTAGCTACCAAAATTATATTACTAGTTAACAACATCAACAACATCAACAATGGTGTGCAGTAGTTTATTTCAGAAGACTTGAGATCCTGCCCCTTTTTGTATATCTAATTACCATCTGATCTTTTGCAGAGAAAATAAAAACTTTCATTGCAGTATGAGGTCTTCCAGTAGCCATCAACATCCATGTAAACACACGCCGACTTCAGCCTGGGCTCGTCAGCAGCCCAGTTAGCATACCTCATCCTCCACTTATCAGTCCAAGTGTACTCGTTATTGGTCTGCATGAGTAAAAACAGCCATGACCATGCAGTCTTGCTTCACTTAGAAAGCACAAAAGAATCAAGTGAAGAACACAAAGAATCTTTAAGACTGTGATTTGGCATGAACGCTTGGGAATTAAAAACAAACACCGTAAATCATTTCTGCCGACTCCAGTTCAGTAAAGACACCCTTCCTTAAAAAATAATTATTTCTTGGAGCTCCTTAGGGCTACAACCCTGGGAACTATTTCGAAGACACTGAATTAAAAAAGTTTTATTCCATGAAACTCTCTTTGCTTTCATGGTCAAAGAGAAGTTTGATTTTTATAACAATGAAAGATTTCTTTTTTTGATTAATTAATTACTTTTGGTTTTACGTGTGAGTGTTTTGCCTGAATGCATGTAAGTGAACTGGTGGTGTGCAATGTTCACAGAGACCAGAAGAGGGCTTCATAGTCCCTGGAACTGGAATTACAGAAGGTGGTTAGCATCATGTAGGTTTTGGGAACTGAACCCAGGTACTCTGCAAAAGTAAACCACTCTGAACCACTGAGCCATCTCTCCAACCCCAAAAGATTTCTTATCTTATTGAAATTACAATAAGCATCGATTTTCACTGAATCCCTGAAGAAAACACGACGCTATCCTGATTTTCTCATTGTCCTGTTAAGACAACAGTGGTAAACAACAACTGAAGCCACTGATCTGGGTAGCAGACTGTAGCAGAGTGAGGTGTTCTCGTACCATGCACATAGATGTTCTACTACATGGGTCAGGATTCCAACTTCTTAAAAGCTGGTTGTTTTATTCCGTTTGCACATTTCACTTACTTTTTGCTAAATTTAGGCAAACAAATGCATGGTCACATCCAAACCGGTAATATGAAAAACAGCAATAGTAAACAGTCTAAAAGTGAGTTGATATGTAAGGTTTAAGAATGGAAAATATATAACAGTAACCAGAGATAAAGTATTTTTTTAATTGAAACGCTTTTCCCATTTTAACTCCATCATTTAATTTACCAAGACAATTACCAAAGACCCAATGGCAAAAATTAAAAGCATGTGTTGTCTCAAGCTAGAACTGTGTAGTAGTCTCCTATTTTATCAAATAATCTTTGTATAGTCACTGATTCCAGAGGTGTCAGGATGACAATATTGTTGGCATAATAAATGCATTCTGGAAAACTAATCTTTCTAAAAATAATCAACAGCTTATTTGAAACTCATAAGGGAATTGTGACCTTGTCTGTAAGAAGAAAATGAATGATTTATCTGATAAATTATTAAAAATACAGTCAGCAGAGATACAACAACCTCTGGTCTAAGCTCAATCACTGAACTCATTATGGAACTAGTTACTTTAAAGCATTCATTACTCTATTTAAGACCCCGACATGAACTGCGGGTTCTATCTCTGTTTCACGGCTTTGAAAGCTCCATAAGACATACTGCCAGTCTACTCTCCGGTTCCATACCTTGCCTCCCTTTTTAGTCTCTTGTTATTCCTTCCTTGGGTTCTATAGTCTATCCTAGAAAAAATTATAGATTTAGTCTATACCTAAAAAGATTGAGTATCTTGGGCTGTGGCGTAGCTCAGTAATAGAGCACTTGCCTAGCATGTGTGAGGCTCTGAAATCAATTCCCAGAACGGGAAAACAGATGATTGAGTTTCTGTAAGGAGCCCTCTCGAGCCTGTCCCTGTCACATCTACCCCCGCCCCGTAACGCTTCCTTCATACATTTCTAACACTTCTGGTGTTATCACTCAAGTACCTACTGACACCTCTGTTCCCCAGTTTGCTAGTAAATGGGTGGGTGGAGAAAGAAGAGGTGATGCACAAGGCATCAGAGAAGATTCCTCCTGGGAATGTTTCCACAACCCTGTTACCATTCTTAGTTCTGGGCCTCATCACTTATCCTATACCTGTTCACTTCCAACCTCATTTTGCTATAATACAAAAGGAAAAAGATGAAGTGCAATGTGAAATAGTTCTCTCATATGGCTGGAAGAACTGCAGCTCTGGGATCATAACAACTCTATGATGGCTTGTCACAAAAAATTTAAAAGGTATTCCCAGTACCCAGTTCCTAAGCTCCCAACCTACTTTCTTAATTCTCGTCTGTAGTTGTATAATTGTGGCAGCATAAAGCTGCTTAGCTGCAGAATATAAGTTTGCTATACAAATCCAGTGAGTGTGAACAGCAGATACTTCTGTTTGGTTTCTGACATTCATCACTAGGTCACTAGATCACGGACACCAGTGGTGCCTCGAAAGCTTGGGTTTTTTTTGTTTTTTTTTTTTTTTTTTTTTTTTTTGCATTCATCCCATATACATTGCCCAACAGGATATCTATCATGTGAGTGTTCAAATGAATAAACAGAAAGAGAATCATATTGGCCACAGTTTATCAATCATGTCAAGTTGTACAGGTATCCAGCATCTTACCAAGTTACTGTTCAGGGCGATCCACATCGGCACATTCAATGGGTGCATATTCATCCAAGCAAATGCATTACTATAGGGGTCTAGAATGCTAGCAAGCAGGGATGCATGATCTTTGCAATATTTCTCTGCTTCGTGCCATGGTAACTTTGATTTTATGAGGGAATAACTGCTTTTACCATATTTAACAAAGCTATCTGTTGGAGCCACGGTTGGAGAAACAGGCAAGGAAGGGTCTAGAATAAAAAGATAATGAACATGAACTGAGCATCTTCAGTATATTACAGCCTACTTATCCTATCCATCGAAAAAGCAATCAGAAGAGCTTAAGTCAAACCTTGCTGCTGTTAAACATGTTTTCACTAGACATTTTACAACAGAAAACAAAGACGGATTTATGTGTGGACATATACATATGTGTACATATTCATGTATGTGCCAGAGCATACGTGTGGCGGGTACACATGCACATGGTGCATGCAAATGTAGAGAACAGAGGTCAACCTCAGGTATTATTCCAGTACTCAATAACTTGTCTATTTATGTATATTTTATGTATATGAGTGTTTTGACTGCATGTATGTAAGTGTACCTGTATCCTGCAGTGCCTTCAGAGGCCCAAAGACAGTGTCAGAGCCCCTGGAACTGGAGTTATGAAAGGTTATTAACTACCATGTTGGTGCTGGGCACATGCTGAACCATGATCCT